CTAAGGGGAGACAAAAAGCGACAAAGAAAAAATTTGCCCCGTCCGGTGGTTGATCTTAAGGCCAAGTTTTGGATCGGATGAAGCTGCATGGGGCCGTGTCGATTGTAGCTACAACTGTGCAGCTACAAAGTAAAGGGGGCGTGTGGCTCGTGTGGCTGGGGGCGTCGGGTCGGATATCGTATATTTCCCGAACAGGATCTTCTATAGTCGGGCCATATTAAGCTGACCCTGGCCGACGGATTTGTGGCCACATTTTTGTGGCACAAACAGGGACGTGGCAGACGTCACGAGCGAGCTTTTACTTCGTTGCCCACGTTACGTTTATTGTGGGAAAACATCTCCAAACCGATTAAAAACGATCCTCTCAAGTTCAGTAGTTCAATAAGGGTTGCGTTGCCAAGGTTACTTTTTCCTTTGTTACACTGGGACAAGTAAAACAAGAAAAAAACAAAAAAATAAGACTTTGTTTGTAAACTAATACTCTAGTAAAATTAAATTAACAAGTGAGTTGCACACCGCAGCCGTGGTGCTGTCGGGACGGTGACACATTTCCAACGGAACGTCAACTATCTCGACACTTTATAAAAAAAATTAGTAAAAACAAAAATAACAACATTCAAATCATATGCTTTGTTTATGACTCCTACTGAACGCAAGGGTGAATGTGTCTATGCAGCGAGCCGCGGCAACGGCCCAATGGTATGTTATCCACCCGTCACACCTGCCCACACTGCTATTGAAGTATAGAAATATTAATACATGACACCTTGGGCACGGTTGTTAGGAGCCGGAATGGGCGTCCTCTACTTGCAACTCTTACCTCCTGGTGCGCGGGCCCGGGCGGTCGCACCTCCACGCTTCCAACTGCCCCCGCCGCCCCCGCGCCCACCACTGCTGTCACCAGCCATGCGCGCCGCGGGGTGGTGCGGCGGACATCGAGGCGGCCCTCGCGACGGCGCTCAGCAGATCGACGGGTAGGTGGCGAGGGGCGCGCCGCCAGAGGGGTGGGGGCTAACGATGCTCAGCAATGGGAGGTACCTGAGGTACCTGCCTTCTTTTCCAGGCGGCCGGGTGCGGCGTATTCGTGCGGCGAGGGTGGAGAGCCTGGAGGTGAGCGCGGCCGACGGCGGGTTGGTGGGTGAGGCATCGTCGGGGCCGTCACGAGCCTCATGAGCCGTGTTGCAGACGCTGCCGCGATCCTGGCCGGGCCGCGCCATTGCCGCGCTGGGCCGCGCCATGAGGTTCAACAACGGCTGGCGGCGAGGGGGCCCCCGCTCCAGCCGCTCATCACAAGTACGCACGCTACGGCCACTCAGTACCGACAGCGGGCAGCATTTACTTTTTAATTTGTAGCCTGTGGTTTCCCCTACACAGACAACGCCCACGTCTGCCGTGCGGGCATCGCAGATCGTGAACTCGATCGAGGAGAACACGTCGTCGGGGGCTTTCTCGACACCCTCGAGCCACCCGGCCAGCGCCGAGCACAGCGACACCGGTGGCGCGCCCATCCCCCGGGTCGAGTCCGCCGCCGTGTCGCCGTCGCCGTCCTCGGTCGGCGTCGGTCGGCCGCCACCGCCGCCCCTGGAACCCTCCGCCGCGTCCTGCCTCGAGACCCTGGTCAGGTGCACGTCGCTGACGCACACCCCAGAGCTCTGCGCCTCCCCGGGGACCCGCACTCGCTCGGGCATCCCCGATGATCCCGGGGGGCCCCTCATCATCTCGTAAGTCAATACACACCAGAAAACAAAGTTGTCCGGCCCTCCCTCACACTTACGAATAAGCGTACTCCAGGACAAGCGACGGCGAGGACGTGGTGGCGGAGAGCTTGCAGCTAAAAGAGCCGGCCGACAAGCACGTCATCGTGACATCCAGCTGTCCAACGGCGGACTTTCCTCCCGAAGCGCTGCTCCACGGACCTCCAGAAGACGCGGCCCCTGTCCGCCCCGCTGAAAGCGCCTTGGAGAGCGTGCTGGCTTGTCATCCCCTACTCTGCGCGCCACCGCGTCCTCCAGAGTCCAACTCGATAGCAGAAAGACCCCCAGCTTTACCTCTGGAGAGCAGCCCGGCTCAAACCTGCCCGTCGGAACAACCTGCACATGGTCCCCCAGACTCGCAGTGGTACCCCTACGGGTCCTTACACCTCGCCGGCACGGGCGGGGACTCGCTCGCCGCCAACGTCAAGGAGGTCGCCGACATCCTGCGCGCCCTGGAGGAGATCGGCGAGCGTGTGGCCCCGTTCACACGCGACCCCGGGTCGGTGCGGACGGAGCGGGCGCGTGCCGAAGAGCCCGGGGGTCCCCGCCCGCGCCCCCCGAGCCCCACGGACCGCCCCGCGCCCGCAGAGCACACCGAGGGCCCCGTGGTCTCCGGCGGGCGCAGCGACCCCAGCCTGCTCATGCTCGCCCTGCGCCAGGACGGCGATCACAGCGTGCTCCTGCTCACGCTGCTCGACGAGGTGTGCCCGTCTGACGCGCAGGATTTGTCGCGGCTCGTACGCGACTGCAAGAGCAACATGGCAGCGCTAACCTCCGCGCTCAGCGGCGAGGACAGGTCCCTCAAGAGTGGGGTACCGCCCGCCGTGAAGGAGGAGGATCCCCCGCAGAAGCAGGTAGCGCTCAACGGAGAGGACACCGAGCCGGGAGGAGCGGACACCTCAACCAATGAAAAGAACCCTCCGTCAAAAGAGGAAGACACGCTGTTACCAAGCGCAGGCCTCTCTTCAAAAGAGGAAGACCGTCAATCGTCAAAAGAGGAAGACACCCCGCTGCAAGGGGAGGACCACGCGTCCACTGAGGACACTACGCTCAAAAACAAAGACCTTTCTACCACTGGCGGGGACAGTTTCGACCCTCTCTGTCAGGATGACAACCCCCCACACGTAGGCAGCAACTCGGCATTGAAACACACAAACACCTGCGAGGGGGACTCGAGCCCTGCAGGGAGACGATCCGGGGACGAGTCACACGCCGTCGAGACCGAGGACCAATCTCAGAACGAAGCACCACTACGGGTTTCGCTAAAAGTCATGCCGCTTGGCCGGCCGGCCGTCACCCCTAAGCCGCTCACCATGCTTGGCCACCCCTTCGACCTCGACAAACTCGGTGACTACTTTGGGAGCTCGTCCAACCCCACAGCAGAGACGGAGCCGCACCTCGGAGACCTCGGGGAACTCGGGGTGCAGGCGCACGCCTTGTTCGGGGATAAATTCAGGTTGGTGCTGGGGACCGCGCAAGGCGACGCCCCACGAGTGTTGATCCAGACAGTGTACTTGACGGGGACGAGGTGCGCAGGTCGGTACCGCAGTGGCCCTCACCCGGGCGGGCCAACCTCCCGCCTGTGTCGGGACGAGGCGGGGAGCGGGGCGCGGCGAGGGGCGGCGCCTCGGCCCCTCTCGAGGAGGCCAAGCGACGCGTCGTGCTCCAGTCCCGGCCCAGCGAGGTGGTGCGGCCGACCCGCGGCGCCCTCGTCCTGCCCAAGACCACCACCAGCAAGGTACGCCGTGCGGGGGTGGGGAGCGGGGGCCGCGGGCCAGGGGTGGTGGTCCCACCGCCAGGGAACGGGAACCACCCTTCGTGTTGGTCGCAGGGCGCTGTGCCGTGCCACTCGCGCTGCCCACTGCCGCGCGCCGCCCCCGCGTCCGAGCGTGCCCCCGACAGAGGGCGCTGCGCGCGGCGGGGGGCGTGGACCACCTCCAGGATGGGCGTGGGCTGCGACGAGGAGGTGTCTACCCGCACTCGGCCCCGGGGCTGCCGGCTGCCCGCGCTGCAGAGCTCGGCCGCGTGCTCGGGCCTGTGCCCGCACCGCGCCAGCAAGGCTTCCCACCAGGTGGCCCAGCACATGGCCCACCAGATTGCGCACCGGCTCACCGGCAAGGACGCGCTTGCCCTCCGTAAGGTAAGCCCGATGCGATGATCCGTACGGTTTTGTTCGCTGACGCCGTCCCCCTGCTGTGACTCCTCCGTCGACAGCTCCCTCGTGCCCACCCGTCTCGCAATGCCCTCCTGCGCACCGCCGCGGCCCCGCCCCCCGCCTCCGACTTCGTCTCCGCACCCGCACCCACCGCTCCACCCCAGAGGACTTCCCGCCGCAAGACACTCAGCGTGTCTTTCAAAGAGCCCCCGTGAGCGCCTGCGATGGTAGGCAACATGCGCACGCTGTACACTCGCGCGTTCAGGTTGCCTACCCACTGGATCGCAGGCGCCCCGGACCTTGCGGACCATTCACCATACACACACACCACCAGTCTGTAAATTTTCAGTACTACTCAAGGAAACGACATTTAATCACCTTCAGCATTTTCTTTACTTTTGTTATAAAACTAACTTATCGATACTTATTTCGCACTACAACGTGCAAATACGGTAAGATCAGTCCTCACAAATACGCAGCACACAGGAAAAGCTATGAGCGAGTCAGGTTCGACGTCTCGTTCGACGTGGTGGTGGAGAAAGAGTTCTCACCCATCAGCATCCCTGCGGACACAGGGCAAAGGTGACACAATAAACATAAACAATAAAACAATAAAAACAAATGCACCTTTGTACCAACGACGTGACGTTATTGGATTGACTTCGACGATGTAGTTGCCGGCTCAGCTACATCTTGTTGTACGTGACATTGTCATTGGCACTACTACATCTGTAGGATGGTTATCAGCAAAATGTAGCTGGGCTAGCAGCTGTGTCATTGAAGCCAATCTCAATAACGCTATACCGTTTGAAATTTTGTGAAAGCGTGACAATGACGTATGAGAATAAAAAAAAAATAAGTCAAAAAATCGCTGCATTTCATGTTATTATGGGGATGAGTAGCTCACCCGCCATGCTGGCAGTGATGCAGCAGGTCACGATGCCGGCGGCGAGCGACCGCAGGGCCACGTCGGACACCTTGGACCTGGCCGAGGGGGCGATGGCCGACAGCACGCTCATGAGGATGGCCAGGGAGCCGAAGTTGGCGAAGCCGCACAGCACCAGGGTGCTCAGGGCCAGGGAGCGTGGCTGCATATAGCGACCAACGGTCACAATTATTCTGAGAGACAATAGTTTGTCATTGAGACAAAGACGGCTTGATCCTTACCGAAAGTTGGTCGGTTTCTTTCAATTGACTCATCCTCTCGAAGGCGACGAACTCGTTGACGAACGTCTTGAGGCCCACCAAGGTGGCGACGTCTTTGCAGTCCTCCGGCGCCACGCCCATCAACCACACGACGGGCATGAACAGCACGCCCAGCACCATCTACTCCAAACACCAGTTCTCTCAGCACCACACACGCGCCTTCACCCTCCTACCCTACACTAGGGATGATGGAATTTTGCCGATTTTCGATTTGAGAATTGTAATAGTGCGGAAAAGTTGCCTTGACAGATTGTAAGACTAACCATGGTTTTATTTTTTCGATCGGATAATATCTTCTGTTCGAACCAGGGGATACAAATTTGCCTTATGGGCGTTTTGATCAAAAAGTGTGTATATAGGTCTAGTCTTGTTCCTTTGATTTTCGCGTCCTACCTCGATAGAGAAGTCCGGGATGCCGACGAGCTCCCCCAGCCAGCCCACCACGCTGTTGATGAGGTACCGCAGCGACACGAAGGCCACCAGGTTGGCGGCGATGTTGAGCACGATGTTGATGCCAGCGCTGGCGCCGCGCGCCGCAGCGTCGATCACGCTGCTATCCTCTATCTCCACGCTGCGGGGGGAGGAATCGAAAGTAGGGGGAGGAAGAAAGTCTCAGTCATACAAGTGCCGCCGATTTGTTTTCAAATATCGTCCCCAGAACGACGGAAATAAAGAGAAGTTTTAGAGTCTGTTTTGCAAGGTGCCCTCAACATTACTCGGTGTCAGGAACGCGGGTGGGGTTGTCCCCGCCGGCCTAGGCCAACCGTAACCGGCCCAGGAACTCGGGCAGGGTTACACGCGTCGGCCTAGCCCACCCATCCTAGGCCCAGGCCAACCCATGAAAATGGGCAACCCCCTTCCGTCAGCCGGTCTTAAAACAGTGCCTGGCTCTCACCCGCTCGAATCGCCGAGGTGCTCGGCCGTGGTCGTGGACTCCTCGGTCTCTGGCAGGAGCAGCTTCGAGTAGGCCAGCGCCCCCGTCGCCGACATGATGGAGGCCGTCAACAAGTTACCCGGGTCAGCCCCAAAGGAGATGTAAGCTGCCAGAACGGACCCTGTAGCCAGAAAAAATGTTTACTACATTCAGTGAAAACATGAGATCGTAAACGAAAATCACTGCACGTTTTTTGAATAATTATGAATGAAAGAGAGTCCAGGTACCCGACGCCGTTGCGAAGCCGGTGCCCATGACGGCGTGCAGCTCTGAGCTGGTGAGTCGCTCGATGTAGGGCTTGATGAGCAGGGGGCTCTCCGTCATGCCCAGGAACACGCTGCCCGCCGCGTTCACCGACTCGCACAGCGTGGTGCCCATGATGGCCTGCAGCAGGCCGCCCACCCGCGCCACGACCCACTGCATCGCGCCCAGGTAGTAGAGCACCTGGATCAGGCTGCTGAAGAAGAAGATGACGGGCAGCACCTGCGGCGGGGTCAGGCTCGGCGATAACGGGCGAGGCAGACGGGTGTTGTTCATTGCGTCATCTGCTTGAAATAAAAACACTGGCCTACCTTGAACGCGAAGAGCGACTTCTCTTTGACGAGCATGTCGCCGAACAGAAAGCTGGAGCCGTCGTCGGCGCAGCCCAGCAGCGCGGCCACCTTGGCGGCGAGGCACTCGAGGGCGCGCCGGCCCTGCGGCAGGCGGATGGTGAGCAGGCCGCACAGCAGCTGCAGCAGCAGCCCGGTGAGCACGGGCCGCCAGCGCACGCGGCGCGGGTGGCGCGAGCACGCCCAGCCCAGCAGCACGAACACGACCACGCCGAGCAGCGCCGCCAGCCGCCGCCGGTCCGCGCCGATGTCCAGCAGCAGCAGCACCAGCAGCGCGATCAGCACCGCGGCCAGCACCGTCCAGCGGAGCACGCTGCGAACCATAACCCGAAGCAGTGGAAGGAATTGCGTCTAATAGTCTAGCTATAATCTGTCGTAGCTATGAAATATAATCTTCTATGACCTGTACCCATTCTGTCGCCACCTTCGCCAACTTGCCGCCAGTGCAAAAGTCCTAAAGTGGTGGCCACACGGTAAGAGTGACGTCCCTGTTTTCATGACGATTTGGAAAAACCAAGACGTCTTATGGAAGAGATACATGGGGAACGTCTTGGTTTTTCCAAACGTCATGGAAATCAGGACCAGGACGTCGTTTTTACCGTGCGTCTGCAGAGAGGCGGACACGGCGGACGCGAACAGGTAGAAGATGGTCAGTGTGAAGGTGCCTTCAAAAGTACACGACTGCGGTGAGCAGCAGATCTGTCGGCTCGCAGCCGTGTTTACGTCGCATTCAAGGTCAATCATCGTTTAGTCGCCACGCTTGAGCACTGTAAATGTCACAGCACAAAGCTGCGCAAGCTGCGCCAGCTAAACGACCTGAGCGCCTGTCGGATAGGCAACTCGTCTCGTGCGGTGCGCCGGTGGGCGGTGGTTGCATACCTCGACATAAGCTGCGGCTCTCCGCTACAGAACGGTGTGTAAAATAAAAACCTCAAAAACTGACGTGACATATCGAAGCTTTTGTTGATCGCGTGACGCGGAAACACTGACACTTGTTGAGTACTCGTGCACGACACTTACCGGTTCTGGGTGCAGCTGGGCAGGAGACGGCGCGCCCAGGGGAAGCAGTACGGCTTGAGCAACGCGTAGTAGACGATACCCAGGTAGGTGCCGGCCAGGATGACCAGGAGCAAGCCGAGCCCGTCGCAGAACTCGAGGTCGCTCGCGCGGCCGGCATCCACTGACGGACCGCAGAGAGTATTAGCGTGACAAGAGAGGAGCCCACCGCATAACCGTCACACAGAGCGTCACTCGTCACTCACCCTCCGCGCGCCAGTGCGCGACGGCGAAGGCCAGGTAGATGACGACGAGGCTGTGGCCCACGGCCAGGGCGACGCGGTGCTTGGCCGTGCCGTGCTTGTCCAGCCAGCCGCGCGCCTCGTCCACTTTCCGTCGCGCCGAGGACACGACCCCCGTGATCCGGAGGCTGCGAGAGGCGAACCGGGCGGACGACGACTTGGCCGTCGACTGCACCTCCGCGGCGGTGGCGCTGCCGGAGGCCGCACCGTTGGAGGCCACGGCGGCGACCCCATCGCCCTGGACCACGAAGGTTATTATTATTCACTCTGCAGGCAGAGGTAAACACATGACACGACGGCGAGGACGCAGCTCCGCTCACCGAGTCCGCCGGCCGACACTCGCCGCTCTCGCAGGCCGGCGCGTCCATGGCAGCGTCAGCGGCCTCCTCCTGCTCCCGCGTCGCGCCGCTCTCTGAAACAGCACTGCGGGCCGGGGAGCGTGAAGCAGCGTGAGCAGGGCCGGGTGCCCCGCGGCACCGCGCCCGACGGCGGCGCGGGCGGAGGTATGGCGCGGCCCGCGCAAGAGTGACACACAAAGTGTTGTCGTCCGACGGGCTGGGACCCGGCACCCACGTGGGGCCGGGCCGCGCGGTCCCCGGCCTGCGTCCTCCAATACCGCGCCAAAGTGGCCGCACCGCGGCGCCCTACCTACAATGCGGGGACACGTGCTCCCCTACGGGGGTGACGCCCTCGCCCTCGCCTCGGCTGCCTCGGCGGCGCTTCATTTATATTTGCCGTTCATGAGGCGTGTGTCGCCGTTTGTCGAGATTAGAAGCGCCGCGGCTTTATGGAGGGAGGCCGCGCCGCCGTGTCGTCACTGGTCGTCACTGCAGCGAGTGCAGCCACAACCACATGCCGCGCGAGAGCGGAGAACACGTCCACCGCGCGCAGCGTGTGGTGGTGGGAAACACAGAATAAGTCAGAATACATATTCTGTGGGTGGAGATGAGGGGGTGAGCCAAAGGGGTAGTGGTTAGACAAAATCAATGTACGCCAAAAATTAAAGAAGAAAAAAATAAGGAAAAGACAATTAAATCGCTTTTGAGCTAAACATAATCATCCGGCTCACGATAGGCGCAGACCATGTGCCCCCGTCCCCTGTTTTTCCTGCCCCCCCCCCCTCCCACACACACACAATACGGAAATCTTCTGGATGGGCGCGTATGTGTTCGAGTCGAGCGTCGGCATGCTGTGTGTGTGTTGGTGTGTGTGTGTGTGTGTGTGATACCGAGAGGGGGGAGGGCACACAGATGGCCGAGGCGAGAAATTGGCGTCGGATTTCGCTACGTGACCGACCCCTTATCTGTGCACCTCGCTGCTCGCTCAGCGCGCTCGGCGGCCGCCGCCGCTCACGGCGCGGGCCGGCAGCGGGTGGTGTGGGTTTACATGTGTGTTTGTATGGGGTGTGGAGGGGAGGGGGGAGCCTGTGGAGACGGCTTTCTAGGGAATGCAGATAACCTGACGCCATCGATGTGAAGCGAGGACTTCGTGTGGAGCAATTCCAGAGAGGCTGTCTGTGCGTAACGGTCCCAAAACTCGCAATAATTCGAGGCCTGCTGTGGGCAAAGGAGTGGTGCTAGACATTGGCGAGGCACGTGAATGAACGCGTAACCTGTGCAGTTACAGTTCTTCTACACATGATTTCTGAAGCAGACGCATCTGCTGAATCGGTAGACACGTCTGGTTTTATTCTAACTCGAGTAGCTTAGCCAAAATACTAAGAAAATGACGGATTTTTTTTTGCCATTTGTGCGATCTGGAATTGCCCTTTGCGGCTTTCGCAGCGCGTCAGCTCGAAGCTTGTCCCAGGAAGCGGCAGCTTGCCACTGGCGCGGTGGCCGACGAAGGGATTCTCCAGAAAGTACGCCCGTTTTTCCTCCGATTCATTGGGCAAGTCACAGGAGCTCAGCGCCTGCGAGGCTCGGGGTAGGCCAACCCGCAGTACACGCATGCACCGTAAGCCAGATGTTGCCTACGCATCAGGCGCTAGAGGGGTTGCGTTTGCAGTCACATAAATGGCGAATGACGGACGTAATTTATGGATGATCCCCAACGCAGAAGCCCGAAAGCCACGCCAAGGAAGATCACGGAAATATTTATGTCCCCATGGAGGAACGACGCTCGTTTGACTGAACACCGCGCGCGGTTCTTATTTCGGGATTTTTGTACTGTCGTTGCGAAATTGTGGTTACGGCTGACGAAGACGCGGTACAGCGACCCAGACCAGTTTGGCTGATGTTCACGGCTGCTCACTCACGCTGAGCATCCCCGCGCAGGCCGTGACATTGGCCTCCTCGATCCTGACCTTCACTGAGCGGGGCGGGGAGGGGTGAGGAGGGGTGGGACGATGTCAATTAGGCATCGAGCCGCCGAGTGGTCCGCGTCGCGGCGCCAATCGAAGCACGAGGGGCAGTGTGGGGTCCAGCGGCCAGCGCGCGCGCGCGCGGTCAAATGGCAACCAAAAAGCGGGGGGAATGGAATGCCCTGCCAAAAATAGGCGCATCTTGTACCACAGGAAATGCTGCTGATGTGGTGTAGCTGGGGTGCGCCTCTCAGACCACATCATCAGCATTTCCTGTTATGGGCAATTCCAGAGACGCTGTCCGTGCGTAACGGTCCTAAAACTCGCAATTCGAGGCCTGCTGTGGGCGAATGAGTGGTGCTTTTTTGCCATTTGTGCGATCCGGAATTGAATGGTGAAGCGGAAGAGGGGGGTAAGTCCATGGTTATAACGCCAGACTTATGGCTGCCCCATCTCTGAAGTGTTGAAGTTCTGTTCAGTTCGGGTTAGTTTTTGAACTAAGGCATGAAGAGTCATCATTATTACTGTCTCCACAAAACATGAATAGCAAATTTAGCAAGGCGACTGCGCCACTTGCAGATAACCAGAAAATAAGTGAAATGAAAACAAGCTTATGACTGATTAATTAAAAACTTTTATTTAAAAATGTACAAGGGTAATGCATGAGTGTCATACCTTCTAAAGCAAGACAGGCTTTTGTCCTTACAGCCAGGACTCCAGTGACACTACCACATTGCAACAAGTGTTCAAAAATACGAGGCAATCTGTGAATAGGCACAATTGTTATGAAATACAATAAGTATACAATTCATAGACTCTGTAATAAAAAAAGAACACTTAATCTTGAAAATTCTTAGTTGAATATAAGTCAAGTACAACAGTTAAGTATTTTCAAAACAACTAACTCACTTCATTAACAGTTTTAAAAAGTTACATTACCCTAGGATGATGGTGTCTGGAAAGGGGTAGTATATTTCAGAGCTATGTACAGAAAAATGACGTCAAAGGACCCCAAACCAGACACCATCTGCCTCAAAAAGTAGATCAAATAAGATCCCAAGAATAAAAATGTGTGCAAGAATATACGTATTGTAAATATGGCAGTCAGGCAGAGGTTGCCAAATATAAAATTTTTGGACAGAGAAACTCACGAACTGACATCCTCTGACCTTTCTTCAAACCCTGTATCGAATTTCCATCACTTTAAATTTTGTACAATGTCAAACCGGAGACATTTAACAATATAAAGGCAACATTTGGTTAAAAATTTGGACACGCACTAATATGCCAACAATTAACTTTTAAACCACAACATTTAGTTTCCCTCTGAGCTATAATTAGTTATACACAGGAAATTTTGAGTATTACCCCCCAAAAGGATGGATTTCACTGATGGGTGCAAGTGCAGCAACCTCAAAGAGGTAAGTGCTACATGCAAAGGACTAGGTATAGCCATCTAGTTTTCAGGCTAACACAGCATCTGCTTGCCTGGCAGTTAAAAATATTACATTAAAGAAACAGGCCAAAACAAAAATACGAAAAGTAAATGAAACGAAGAAGACATCACACACTAAGTCTACCATTAGTTACAAAATGAGTGTGAACCCCTGGCAGATGTGTTACATCATCAGAAATTAAAACAAAAACAATGTTATAAACTAAAATTAACAAAACTATTAAAACAAACGATATGTTGATTTCTTTGACACAAAAAGAATGGCAACTCATGAGCAGTTGAACAAGCTGCTATGTCAATAAATAAAAGAATAAGAACCATACATAAACTTTAAGTTGTTGGCACAAAAAGGAAAGAAAAAATAACATTAAAGTACTACAAAATGATCAGAGAAACCAAAATTGCACAGGTGCACAGCATACTAAGGTCTAAAAGCCCACAACTTGATTTCTGGGCAAAGGGCACTCAATCTATCGAGGTATGATTATTTGGTCAGCCAAGTATTATTTAATAATTAGTCACCACATAGGCCAACTATCTTGGATTTGAAGCACCAAAGTGTTACTAAGAGTAAAAAAAATTACCTCGCAGAGTTCTGACTTCAGACCGGAACACCATATTTACTATTTGATTCTTTTGGAAGTCATAATATGAATAAATAATCAAAAAATTAAATGGAACAGGTAACAGAAATCGGAAATGAGATCAAAGATAAGGAGAGATAGAAAAGAAGAAGACCAGCACGAGAAAAGAAACAAGAAATGAGGCAAGAAAAACAAAGATTTTTAAAGATGGAAAAATTGAGTCACAAGAAGCAGACAACAAAGATAAATAAAAAGTGGAAGAGACAGAGAGAGAGAGAGTGAGTGAGAAAGATAGAGTGAGAGAGAGAGAGAGAAGAAGAAAGAGAGAGAGAGAGAAGAAGAAAGAGAGAGAGAGAGAGAAGAAGAAAGAGAGAAAGAGAGAGCGAGAAAGAGAGACAGAGAGAGTGAGAAAGAGAGACAGAGAGAGTGAGAAAGAGAGACAGAGAGAGTGAGAAAGAGAGACAGAGAGAGTGAGAAAGGGAGACAGAGAGAGTGAGAAAGGGAGACAGACAGAGTGAGAAAAGGAGACAGAGAGAATTTGAAAGAAAGAGAGAGCTAGAGACAGATTGAGATGATAAAGAAAGACACAGAGAGGTAGACAGAGAGATATAGAATGAGTGCAAGGAGAATAAACGAGTTAGAGAGAATTGGCGAGTTGAGCAGGAATAGAAAAAAGACAGAAGAATTTAAAGACAGAAGTGTGGAAAGAGAGAAATAGACACAAGAGAGAAAAAACATAGAAGAGATGAGAGAAAGAGACAAGAAGAGAAAAAAGAAACAGAAGAGACGAGAGAAAAAAGAGAGACATAACAAGTACAGAAGAGGGAAAGAGACAGAAGACAGAAAAGTATAGAACAATAAGACAAAGATAACAGAGAAGAGGATAGAGAAAAAGTGTGAGATAATGACGAAAGTAAATCTATAGAAAGCCAAAACTATAGACAAAATCAGGCAGAAGAGAGTAAAAGCAAAAGAAACAGAGAACTATAATAAAGAGAATTTGGAGTTAAAAATCCATATACAAAAATAAAAAATGCTCTAAATAAAAATATTGGTATTCAAAGCTTGTTTTAGACATGGTCAGTTCCGGTCTTGTTGAGTAACTTTCAAAGGACTCTTTCATATATGCATTGTAAGCATTAAGTAACTATCAGCTACACATTTGTTTATAGCAACAATAGATACCAAATTGAAAAACGGTTATTAAATTGAACAGCTCAGAATCAAATAGTTTGCAGGTGTAGGAATTACCCTCATGAGTATCAGTCGAAGATACACAATGAATGTTTAAGAACAATCACAGTGTTTAGCACCATTTCAGAAGACATATGAGGTGAAAGTGGAGTGTCTGAGATAGAGATGATCATATCCATCCATAAAAGTCTCTGACCCGCAGAATATGAAGGAGATAAGTCCTCCACTACACAGTAGTCAGACAGAAACAAAAATTATCCACATTTAGAAGGAACAGCTGTTACATTTAGTTACGTAGCCAATGAAGTGGAAATCATGTTAGTTCTTATTCCAGCTGATATGTTTTGGAAGATGACGATGTGGTGAACGTCCGCTTCTCGACCGTGCGCTGCGTCATGGACTGCTTCAGCATCCGCTGCTCCAAGGATTTGGTCTCAACCAGCGAACCGTCGTCGGCCACTCTCAATGCGGAGCTCATGTTGCTGTCACCCATGTTGCTCTCCGAGATGGTGGAGAAGTTGCTGGTGCTCATGCTCGACGCTCCGGAGTAGTCGAGTGGAGGCGGCGGGGGTGGTGGGGGCAGCAGATCATACTTGTGGCCCGGTGCGCCGGAGGTCTCCATCGTGCTGCTACTCGAGTACGTCTTGTACAGCGAGCTACCGAAGGGGGCGGGCCCGCACGGGCTCAGGGCGGGGGAGGACGACGCCTCCGACTTGCCAGCCTGGCTCGTGCTGGCCGACAGCGAGTAGAACTGTGGACTCGGGGGCACGGGGGGCGGCTGGCCCTGCCCTGACAACGCCTGCGAGGTGAACGCACTCGGCCTGGCCAGTGGCGTGAAGGTGCTGCCCGAAGAGGCGCCCTTGAACGTGCTGGTGCCGCCGTACGGCTGTCCGCCGCCCTGGCCTTGGCCCGGGGTCGGGCCGGTGCCGGGCTGGCCGGAGGAGAGGTAGTTATTGCTCTGGCCGTGGCCATGGAAGTTGGGCGGGTTGCTGTGGGTGGGGCTGCCTGGAGCAACGGACTGCTGGCTGGAGAAGGTGCTGAGCGCTGGGGAGGCGGTGCTGCGCAGGGTGGGGAAGGCCTGCTGCTGGGGCTGCTGCTGCTGCTGCTGCAGCTGCGGCGCCGAGTACGGGGAGAAGCCGGAGGCAGCCGCGGGGCCCCCGCCGGGGCTGGGACTAGAGTAGGCGGCGTGCGCGTTCAGGCCGGGAGAGCTGTGACCGAAGCTGTTTGTGGCCGCCGGACCCCTGGGCTGGGGCGAGTCGCCGTTGACCGCAGAGTACTCCTGGTAGCCACGACCGGCCCCGTGGGCCCCGTGGGGAGCGTGGGCCCCGTGGGGAGCGTGGGCGCCCCCGTGGGGGGAGCCGTGGGGTCCCTGCTGGGGTCCCCCCGCCGGGCCGTGGCCATCAGGCCCGGGCCCTCTACCGTCATACCTGAGGGGGAGGAAAGGCGCCCGTCAGACAAAGTTGCAGTCTCAGGTGGTTGAAGCCGCACCCCTGCTTAGCATCAGCAGTGCAGTTAAAGCTCAGTGAGGTAGTATTGCAATGGGCAATTTGATAAGTTTGATTATTTACAGCAATTAGAATTTGGCGAGAGCCACATAAGTGTTTAAGAAAGAAAAGCTGCAAGGGTGGCTGACCCGAAGACTGATTTCGAGATAGATATGTTTTCTATCTTCTTTAAAGGTGGAAAAAGGACTCATAGATACAAATAAATAGAAGTTAGAGGAGTTTGTAATTCAGAGTTGTACAGCTCTGGGGTATCACAGCCAAGGTGTGTTATTAAATTAAATAAAACAAAAACACAACATTCAATTTTCAGGAAAAGTAAGTCCAAAAAAGGAAGAAAAAGTTAAGTTAAGTGTCTAAAAATTGAGTAAAGTTTATTGAACAGTTAGATGGATTAAGTAAAAAATGATGAGCGATAGTGGATGCCCATGCACATGCTCAAGCCATAAGGGTCGGCGAGCAAAAAAGTAAACAAAAGAGACACACACACATTGTTACCTCGTTGTGAAGGACTCATAACCACTTCCATAGCCATCTGTTTCACCATCTGATGCACTGGCATCACCGCCCTTCATCTGGTACTGGGCCTTGCGGATAGCAGTGAGGCGACCACGAGCTTCCTCCAACTGCCGTTCAATGCGTAATACCTCGGATCTAAAATAGAAGCCATTTCATAAGTCTTCAGCAATTATCTCAAGATTTAAAAGTCAAAATTTTTGAAAGTCAAATTAAGACATATTAATTCAATAGTTGAAGTAAGGCATTTACCTGGCATTAATTTCCTGTGCTATGCCACCAACCATTCGTTTATTCAGAACCAAACTGCGTTCCTCCTCATTTTGGATTGCTTGTTGAGCTGCCCTGACAAGGTTATCAGTTGCTCGCTTAACAGCATTACCAGCAGCCTGTAGTCGTTTTGTGCTTTCTGCATCAGGGTCTGCTTTCACCTGGAAATAAATAGCAAATTTGGAAGTAGAATTAAAACTAACAAAAAATAAAATACAAACTTCTGATTTTTTTTAAAATGAAATTTACCTTGCAAGCAACCAGCAACTGAGCAGTTGAGGATGCGACTTGCTTGGCAGATGAAATGAGTTTCTCTTCAGACGCAAGGCCTTGAACTAAGGCATTGGCAGATTCTACCAAGCTATGCGTTGCTGCCGCCACCATACGCGCCGCCGATATCAAGCCCTCAGACCACTGACCATCCTCAGAGCTCGTCAATGGCCTGCGGCTTACTTTGCCGAGGTCCATCAATTCACGCTGAGCAGCTGAGGCTGCCTTGACTAGTGCAGATGTTGCAGCAGCAATAGATTTGGCAGCCTCCAGGATCATTTCATCGAAGTTCATACTTTCATCTGCCTCCTGCAAAGGAAGAGGACAAATACCAGTAAGAACACATTCATAGGTACAAAAATTGTCCTTATTAGTGTTTGTGTAAGTAAGTTTTGAGATTAAAAATAGAGTAGTAAGACAAGATGAAGGTTAAGAAAAGCCTAATTGTGGATACCCTGATGTTTGTTGGAAACAGCTTCACTGTAGGAATATGTTTGATTCCTGGTTGGTAGAAAAAATACAACCAAGAATATCAAACATATCTCACAGTAATGAGCCAAAAGATCCTCTTGAGAGCTGACTGTTGTCCTCTTCTGTTAAGAGATGGCTAAGCAATAATGATCGTCCATGAATTATGTAAATCCAAAATGGACAAACTAGCAGAAAGTAGAGAGGCAGGTAATGTGGAGACAAGGCAAAGACAACATAATTTATGGACGATCAGCTAATTGCAAAAATCTACTTCACAAACAGAAAGCTCTACAATCTACTGACTACCACTCTCACTAAATATTTACTAATCTCCTAGACTATTGTGGAAGGACAATAACAATTACCTGAACACCCTGTATTGATCGGCGTGGCCTTAGAGCTGCTAATTTCTTTGCTGCTGCATCAATGGAGGCTGCTGCTCCTAGGAGTTCATTCTCAGCTATAACTGTGGGATCATCTGGATCAACCCAATCAGAACCTGAAAAAATTGCACAGTCAAAGTTTAAAATTGTATCAAGTTATGCTAAATCTAAGTCTACATTTTAGTTTCAGAACAGTTTGGAGACTAACCTTTCAGAAGCTCAGCCATCGCGACAAGATTTGTTACACACTGGGCAATCAGGCGTGATATGGGCAGCAATTCTTGCTTAGCCTCTGAAGAACCAGGTCTGTTTAGAGACTGCAGAACAGCTTGCAAAAGTTCACGATAACGAGCAGCTGTGTCCTGTCCAGCAGAAAGTGTACGAATTCGTAACTCTTCTGTTTCGGCAGAGTTTGCACAGCCCCGGCAAATAGTGAGCATGTCAGATATTGCCTTGCGGCCAACATTTGCAGCAATTATAATATCTTCTTGTTTGCAAGAATTTCCAGCAGCAACAGCTTTTCCAGTAGCAAGAGTGATAGGTTTGGTGCAGCGAACCAAGTCCTCAGGTGTAGCATGGGATTTGACTTGCTCAGAAGAGTTCAATGCCTGTGTATCATAAGAAAAAGTTTAGAAACATAGAAGCAATGTTCTTAGGAAAAGTTTAGTAGAAATGCAATTTAATTTAGGAGAATGAGAACATACCCTGATTTCTTGTGCTATGGCCTCTATGGTTGATTCCAATGCACGGGTTCCTCTTGTGTGTTCATCTTCAACTGCTTTAACTGTTTTAAGCAGGGATGTGACATTGGTGACCATTACCTAAAAAAAAAAAAGGAATTTAAGTTTTAGACTGATAGATACACATTAATGCCGACCAATCTGAAGCACATGCACTGTTAGAACATATTCAGCAAGTAATTCTTGGTATGGAAAAAAAACTCAATTTTTAGATAAAACAGATTTTACAAAGGTATTTCCCTTTCATGATGAAAATGGTTAGGAGTTAAAGAAAACAGTAGAAGTATAAAAATAAAAAACAATTGCCACTTTTTGACATTTCTACCATATTACTTGTCTACAGCTCAGCATTCACATACCATTAAACTGAAGAATTCTTCAGGTCTGTCCCTACTGCTTTTATACTAAGAAATGCAAATCTACACTCAGCATGTAGCTTTATTCCAAAAAATACCACATTACAAGTGTATTATACGTTTGATAATTGACTAATGTGTTTCAAACCATAAGAACCGTTTTTTAAAAGTAAAACATACCAATAATAAAAATAAAATTAGCGTATTTTAAATTAGATTACATAACTACAAAATAAATTATGCAGAAATAAATGCTTAAGTGTGATATGTATAAGAAAGCAAAATGACATGTTTCATACATCTGCTATGAATGTGTTTGAACAAACTAAGACCCTTATTGATTAAGGTATCTCAGATTAAGCAATGTATTTATAAAATAAAAAAAGAAGCATTTTAAAAACTCCTCAGATTAAATTGCTTGTCTTCACTGTGGTGTATCAGCAAAGTTGTGTCCATTCCTCGATTCGCTGCTTGCTTGTGATTTCAGCAACCTTTCAAGCCTATTAAACAGATACATCAGTAAACAGACGAACATTGGATTCCATTAAAATCTAAGTCCACAAATTAAAAGAGGAATATTGAACATTCAAGATGCAGAGAACAAACTAAACACTGATATTAATTTAGGAAACTCTGCATAAGTGTTATACAACAACTATTTTCCATGAAATAAATGATGGATAGGAATGACAGAGCAAAAGTAAGGTGTTATTGAGAAACTATTGCTTTACAGGAAATAAGATGTTCCAAAGACATAAATGAAACACTGAGCATTCCACAAGAACAGGATGCAACAGAAGCCAGGCGCTAAAAGCCAGGCAACACTCACAGTGGACTTAAACTTTGTGCACTGTTTGTCTGTCCGGAATAATCTGTTCTTACCACAAGCAAGCAGCATCGTTGAAGGTACAGATCAGCACTGAAGATTCTTTTCCTAAAATGATTATACAGGCCCCCCAGCAATTCTTCACTCATGGGTTTGGACTTCCTTGCCTTGATCTTTAGTTAACACATGAAGGAGACAAGGTATTTTCACAATCCGAAATGTTACGTTCACAGGTCTCAGTGACAAGTTAACTAGTTATGTTATGTAGAAAACGGTTACATAGATAAGTAAAATAATTTAAAAAAAATAAAAAATTAGAGCAAGTCTTTGAGAAAAGTCCACTGCGAGGGAACATTTTTAGCTTCAGTGATATTGTCAACCCAATCTGTTAAAAATGCAAATAATTCAGGCTTACTTAACCATTTTTAAAATACATATCTTTTCAAACAAAAACCAGTCAGTTCAATTGTTTTCATTCTTAATGTGTTAATGGCATGGCACATGACAAACAAATAAGGAAATAGAGGCTTTTCAAATTCAGATTACAAAGCTTTATCAAAAACTGCATGCCTCAGTTTTATCAAAAAAGTAAATATTTCAAACACGAGCAACACATTTATACACGCACACACAGAAACAAAATAATTCTACATAGAAGCTAGACACAACAACTAGTACAGTTCTGAAAAAAAAGGAGATAGACAACATACCTTAGCTGAATCTTTCAAATGATTCATTGATGGATCATTGATGCTCTTTCCTGATGCAGCTTTAGTGGCATGAATCAAATCTCCCAATGCTGATGCAACATCCTTAACAGCATTGATCAGCATAACCTGCAGATATAGAAAAATTAAGCATTGGAATAAGTCATATAGACAGAAGTGGAGGATGGTAATAGTGACAATAATTTACCTGAGCCTCTGGGTTATTTGAACCTAAGGAGGCAGCGCCAAATTTAACAACTTCGGCCAACTGTACAATAGTGGAAACTGCATTCTGTGCAGCAACAGCAAGCTGTTCTTGTGATGAAGCAGCACCTAGGAAAACAAAATGGAATAAAGTAAGATTTACTATGAACTAGAAACCAAGAGGATTAAGTTGGATTTAATTAAATCTCACCTGCAACCAATGTTTTCGTATCCTCAACAAGCGCCTTGGCTGTCTTAAGAATGTTCTCACGATGGTCGGCAAAAGTATCATCTTCTCTTTCAGCATTGAGGGTACCAGCAGTTGCAAACATAATTGTGGTGTCCAAATCACCAATGATACCAGAAACAGTAGAAGCAGCATTGATGCAAGCCTGAGTTCCCCGAGAGCCTGCCTGTAAGGCAGCAAGTACTTGAGAAACCTTCTCTGACACATGGCGTGCACTGTCAGCTACATCACGTTGAGCAAAAGTGTCTCCAGTTGGTGCCATTTGGCATGCTCCTCCTGAAGCTACTAAATCCAAGCAGGATCTTCCCAGCTCTTGAACACTTGTTCTAATACGTGATGAGACATCCGCATTTGTTGTTGACATGGCAGCCCCAGTTGAATCAGCTGCAAGTTTGCAATATTGGTGAGTGAGTTCAGCAGCAAGCTGACCCAGACGGGCAGGGTCGTTCCCAGATTTTGAAACCATTTCTTGGGCAATGCGAGCAATCTCTTTGACACATGATACCATGCGGGTCTGATAGTCAACAAAACTATCACTCAAAGAGGTTTCTGTTGTGGTTGTTACAGAAGTGCGGTTGTCAGCCACGCGGGTCATGGCCCGCGTAATAGTGTCCAGAAGGCCAGTGACAATGCCTGCTTGAGTGGAGAGCTGTTCAAGAGTGCCAGCAAGGTCTTGCAAGGCATCTCGAGTAGCCTCAGCTGACTCATCAATTTCAGGGTGAATGTTCAGGGCTTTGGGATTTCCACCGCCCTCCTTGGAAGCGTGAACTAGTTGCAAGGCACATTCAGCTGTTGTCTTAGTTTGATCAAGCAACCGCATTTGTTGTTTTGAGTGAACCATGGCAGACGCTGCACCAATGGCTCCAGCCACCAGAGGCTCAATGTAGTGAACAAGTTGAGTCACCTTAAAAACAGGAAACAAATTTTAAGTAATTTTTGAAATTGTATCATGAATAGACCACAAACAGGTAGGCAAGAAAGATTCTTACAGCATGGCCAATATTTTCCGCTTCATATTTGGCAGCATGTCTCAAAGGTTCCAGCTTTTCAGAAATCTCATTGACTGAACTCTCCATTTGATCAGTGAAACCTTGTAAGGTGTTATCCCTGCGAGCAGGTAGGCTTTGCGACACTGCAAGTAGTGATGTCTGGTCCAGATCCCTGATGCGTGCACTCAATTTGTCAACAGCAGCATCGCAGTCTTTTTGTCCTGGGGCTTTGTCTCTGGAAACAGGGAAAAAATCCACAGTGAATACACTTACATTGAATGCTGTTTGAGGATTATGAATTTATGTTTAGTTTTCCTGACGATAAGATAGACTACAAGTTAATCGGTTAAATGGAGGCGGCTACAAGAGGCCCTCGACTGTTAAATTAGCACCATAGGCCGAAAGATGAGAGATTGTTAAAATGTTTCATTCATCTGGGCTGAACGCAACACTTTCGATTAACGCCTCACCTGATTGAAGACACCAACTTCTTGATCGAGTCACTCACGCTCTTGCTGTGGTTGGCCAGGAGCTGCCAGGTGGGCGGGTCGCGGGGGTTCACGGCCAGGCCCTTGGCGGTCTGGATCAGGTTGCACGAGCCGTCGATGATGGAGCGGCCCGCCTCCAGGATGGGCTCTTGCGACTCGTGCGCGGCGGCGCCCAGGCGGGCGGGCCTGCTGGCGAACTCGGGGGAGCCGGCGAACGTGCACAGGTTGTCCACGGCGTCGAGGAGCGGCCGCGTGGCGTGCAGACACGACTCCCTGTTCTCCTCGCTGTAGTCCACGTCGAGGGCCTTGATGTCCTTGACGAGCAGGGCCGTCGAGTTGGCGACGTCCTTGGCCGACTGCACGAAGTGGCGCTTGGCCACGGGGTTTGACGTCTTGAGCGAGGCCATGCGACACGCGTTGCAGAGCAGGCTGGTGTGCTTGGCGATGACGGTGGCGGCGGACAGCACCTGCTGCTGGCTGCTGGCAGGGCTGGTCAGCGAGTTGCACGCCTGCTGGATGGCCTGCGCCGAGCGTGCGAACTGCGCCTGGTCCACGATGCCGGGCTTGCCGGCCACGCTGGTGGGGTCCGACACGGCCACCAGGTAGGCGGCCTGCGCCGACGCCTCCACCAGGCCGCAGATGAGCGTGCTCACGTTGCGCACCGACTCGCCGAACTGCTCGTGCTCGGAGCGCTTGGCGTGGTTCGCGATGCCCGTCATGCCTTCGCCCAGGCTCTTGGACTTCTCCATGAACGCGTCCAGACACTCGAAGTAGCTCAGGTCGTTGATGGGCTCCGAGGGGTGGTCCAGGAGCGGCTTCATGGACTGGATCTTGCGCACCGCGTTGTCGCACTCCTTCTGCCCGGGGGCCGCCGAGGTGCACACGTCGACGAGGTGGTTGATGCTGTCCGTCACGGCGCGAGCCGCTGCCGTCAGCTGGTTCTTGGAGTTGGGTGCACTGGGGTCGGCCGAGACGCTCTTGGCGGTGACGAGCAGCTTGGACGACGTGATGGACACGTTCCGCAGCGACACGATGATCTGGGTCTGGGTCTCCGTCTCTTTGGTCTGGCCAGCCATCTCCATGCCGACGTTCACCACGTCACCGAAGGCCGATCCAAAGTTGCGCGAGGAGGTGGCGAGCTCGGTGGAGCTGTGGATGGAGTGCACCACGTCTGTGGACGCATCATTGAGCACGGCCGCGGCCGAGTTGAGCTCCTGCTGCAGCTGGCCGTACGACTTGGAGGTGGCGGGGAAGTGGTCGGGGGAGGCCAGGAACGACGACACCTCGTGGATGGACGAGATGGCCGTGTCGATGTCGCGCTGGCCGGGTAGCGAGTCGACGCACGCGTTGAGCGCGAAGGACACGTCCTTGGCGATGGCCACCATGTTGCCGGCATTGTCCTGGTTCTGCAGCGAGCGCCGGGCCTCCTCCACGAGGCGCAGCGACCGGAGCATCACGTCCTCGGCCGAGGTGATGACGCGCTCCTGGGTCTCGCGCACGGTGGTGGTGGACGCCACGCCGCGCACGGCCATGGTCATGTTCTTGAGGGCCGAGGCCGTGTCCCTGGCGGCGAGGCCCGTGTAGTTCTCGTTGCCCTGCGAGGCCGCGCTCAACATCTGCGCCATGGCGAAGTTGACGCTCTTGGTGGTGCTGCCGAGCTGCAGCGCGGCCGTCTCGGCCGTCTCACCGGGGAGGGGCCGCAGCTCGTGGCGCTCGGAGGCGCGGCGGAAGGTCTGCAGCTCGGCCTGCAGCGAGCGGATCAGGTCCGAGGCCGCCTCCAGTTCGGCGCCCGAGCACGCCTCGCGGGCGCGGTCAGCGGCCGAGCGGAGGTCGCCCAGGGCCGAGGCCAGCGACTGCGAGCTCGAGTTGAGCTGCATGGCGGCCGACTGGTCGCTCACGGTGGGCATGACGGCGCGCGCGGACTGCACCACGCGGTGGCCGGGCTGCAGGAACTGCTCCGACGCGTTGATGAGCGCGAGCTGGCGGTCCGGGCTGTCCGGCGCCGACATGGTGCCCTTGACGCCCTCCACCAGGCGGGGCACCTGCCCCGCCATGTTCTTGCAGTCCAGCATCAGCTCCTCCTGCGAGGCCTTGTTGGCGTTGTGCGGGGCGACGCTCTGCGCCGACGCGATGCACTGCGTGGCGGAGGACGCCGCCTGCTTGGCGGCCGACTCGAGCTTGGTGATGAGCTTGCGGCGGTACTGCGGGCTGGCGGCCGTGATGGTGGCCGAGCGCAGCTCCTCGACAGCCTGCCGCAGCTGGTTCTGCCGCGCCGCGTCGTGCGGCGTGGAGGCGCACTGCCTCGCGGCCTCTACCATGCGCGCCGTCGCGTCGGCCAGCTGCTTGGCCGCGGCCAGCAGGCGGCGCTGCAGCTCTGAGTCGGGCTGGCGCTCGGCCTCCCCCTTGATGGACTGGATGAGGTGGGCCGTGGCCTGGCCGAGAACGCGCGCCTGGCGTACCATCTCGCCCGCGTCACCCGTCGACGCGAAAAGTTTGTCGGTCGTCACGAGGATCGTCTCCACGTGATCCTCCTCCTTCGTCTCCCTCGCCTGCTCCCGCGTCCCCGACCTGGCAGAGGACAAGGCACAAGCAAAGGCAGCGGGTTCAAGTCTCGGCGAGTCTTAAGCGTTTCCTTTCATTTTCCGAGGTCGGGTTGGGTTGAGGTCGTTCAGACGTGAAGAGTGAAAGAGAGGAAGTTAATATGACCGACACCCCCAGGTTAGAACCCGAAAGCGTCAAATCGAGGCAATGGAACGGAAGGGGAAATATTTTTACAGCTTGCAGTTTATTCCACGTTCACATGCACGTATTTTAATTTTAGTAACCCCATTTTAATTACGAGTCAAAATATCAGTTGGCTGTGGAAATCTGTCGGATTTTGAATTAATACCGTACTGCATGAATGTCACGAATGAGAGCTGGTTGCCACCACGCTCAGGGTAGCCCCGAAAGTGCGTTCGTCTTTCTCAGATCAATTCAGCAAATTATTGGAGGTCAGCGCCTGTGAGACTCGTGGTAGGCCACACCGCAGTGCACACGTGAACTGCTGGCAAGGTGTTGCCGACCTACTAGGCGCGATGAGGGCTTGAAGATGCAAAACTTGACAGGATCGTAACGGAGAACGACGGACGTACTTTCTGGCTGATCCACAACACCCAAAATGCTCGCGAAGCATGCGTGCGGTACAGTATTACAACAACGTCCGACGTTGGTTTTCCAGCCACCTATTTTGTACTTGATTTCGATTTTTGGAGAGTATTTTCAAGTCAAATATTTCCCCCCTCGGTTCACGTCCTTTTGGTAAGATACGTATGTACTTTATACAGAGTTAAATCGAAAGTTGCCACTCTCCTCCAACCCGTCCCCGTTAGGTAGTTCAGGCCCACTCACTTGATGTGGTTGAGGAGCTCGTTGAGGGTGCGCGTCACCTCGGCCGCCGCCTCGGCCAGGCTCCTGAGCAGCCTCTCGTCGTTGCACGACTCGTTGCAGACGCTCACCAGGCCGTCGACGGAGCGGCCCACCTCGCGGACGGCGCCGCGGAGCTGCTGCTGGCACGCCGGGGACGACAAGGTGGGCGCCACCACCTTGGCGCACGCCACAAGCTGGGATGTGGCCAGGGCGCACTGCGAAGGGAAACGTGCACCATTATTACGGTGTTGAATATTCCCCCATTTAATCCCATTTGTCCAATGGAAAACCAACCAAAAAAACAACAAGGTCTCTTTCCCTTACCTGAGTGGCCGCGCCGATGACGCGGTTCTGGGTGCCCTGGTCGGGGCAGGTCGCCGCCACGCTCTTGGCCTTGAGGACCAGGGCGGCCGTCGTGTTGGCCACCGCCTTGGCCAGGCTGAGCAGCAGGTCCTGGACCTCGCGCCCGTACTCGTCCTCGTCGCCGATGTTGTTGAGCACCTGGTGGGAGGCTTCGCCCACGCGACTGGCCGCGTTCAGCAAGTTCTGGCGCGGCTGAAAGTCAAAGAAAAAAGGGCGAAGGGTAAGTTCACTGACAGCTCCAAGCACGGGGGACAGCAGCCGACGCGCTCGTGCTGACGCGTACCTCTCTGGTCTCCGGCTCCGCGGCGCGCAGCAGGTCGCTGAAGGCGTTGCACAGCCGGCGGGCCGCCTCCAGCAGACTGTCGCCCGACTTCTCGTCGTCCATGAGCGCGGCGATCATCCGCACGCCGCGGGTCATCTCGGGCAGGTTGCTGGTGATGGTGGTGATGGCCGCGCCCACGGCGGTGTGGTCCACCTCCTCGGGCGGGCCGGCCGTCAGCGTCACCACCTGGGCCGTCGCGGCGTTCATGGCCGCGATCTGAGAGCTCACGTTCTGCTTGTTTGTGTCGAGTGTCGACTCCTTCCATTTCAATGAGGCCTGAGTAAAAAAAATTACATGCAAACGTTTAGTAAGGGGGAGATCATGAGCTTTTGCTAGGAAACATATTCGAAACATTTGTAATACATACAGGATCGGAGCCCAGGTCTGGCACTTCAATGCTCTCAATGAGTTCCTTCTCGACTGTGACAATTATATCTTGTCCAGTATTGATAGTAGAAAGTAGAGCTTGCTGAGGTTCTGACAGTAGGCTGGTCACGTGCCCCTGCTGGAGCTGCAAGACAAAAATGATTAAATTGCTGACACTCTTTGTACGTAAATTCGTTAGAGAGACAAACAAAAAAGATAAAATGAGAAAAAGGATAATGTGAGAAGAAAGATGCCAGAAGAATATTTTGATTGACAGATAGAACTGCATGCTTTAAGCCAAAGGCATATTTTCAGCTTCAGAGGACTTTTTAGAGGGTAAAGAGTCCAGCTTCTTTCACAGTTTTCCACAATTCCACAAAACAAAGAAAACAGAGTGGAAAATTTTAAAAAATACCTACTCTGCTCCAATTGTAACCATCCCCTATTAAAGGCAAGACATGGAACAGATACAGACAAAAGACATGAGTTAACAATCACCAAGCACTTTATCTAAGTTAGTTCAATACACAAAATTTTAAAAGCAATAAAATGTTTAAATGATGTTAGGTAATATGAGTGACAATGCACCTGCTTGACTCAATTTCTTGATGAATTAATCGTTTGTTAGTGCATTCTAAATTCCATGTAGTAGAGTTACAGTTAAAAACACAAGAGACTGTACAGTTTAGAGATGCAAAAGGCACATGCTATTTGCCACAGCTTTAGAACATCAATTTATAATACAGAAGGTTAATATAGAAAGCAGACTGGAATGCAGTAGACGTTACGTCATTCCTTTGATAAGGATTTAAAAAGCAGACATTCAGAAAAGATATAAGCCTTGATAAACAGTTGAAGATAAAATTACACCATTGAATGAATTTGACCAAGCAGCAGTCACTGCGGGCTGGAAAACAAGTGGCACCAGCTGAGTAACTTACCGTTGTTGCTTGGTGGCCGACATTGATTTGCCCTGTTGTAGTGGTGTACTGCATTCCACCGATATGGCCAGTTCCATACGGTCGTTCGCCTGCAAGGAGCGTATAAACACTACAGCTACAGCTATGCTTTCAAAAACGCACACTGCCTCAAGCATGACCTAACACAGGTGCAGACCCCACTTTGATTGACTTCTTATTGAGAACAAAATTAAATTGTGGCTTGAAAACATTGAAGGCAGTGCAATTTGTATACAGTGCAGTATAGAAAGATAAAAGAATATGGGCAAAAAAATGACAGAGAAATGTCATATGAAATTTTTGGGAGCCATTTTACACTTATATTTACAAAATTAGATCATTCCTGAGTATGGTAATATTATCAGTCTTAAATGGCTTGCCTGAGGGCAGCGGCACGTATTTGCATAAAGCAGGCAAATACTTGTCACATGCACTGCACATCAGTGACACACCGCTACTCAACAGCACAAGCCCGCAAATGATTGTATTCAAAGTAAAAGTTTGTGCCACACAAACATTTTAAAAATAATTCCATTCTAAAATGTTATGTTTCACAAATAACCATTGTTTTTTAGAACATGAAGATATACTTACCATCTGCACCTGCTCGCATAATGGCTGGCTTTGCAACAGACTCGGTGTTTACTCTTCCCACTTTACTGCTTTCATGCTGGAGAATAGTTGCTCTATAGAGAGAATTTAAAAAATGAGAGATTAGTCAGGAAATATTTCAAAGCAATTCCACAAAATTCAAAATAAAAAGTACATACTTAAGAGGTGAAACACTGTCCTCCACCATGGTAGAACCTTCATCACCTTCAATTCCAAAGTGATCCTTAGACTTTTTCTTCTTTAAAATAATGTCAATGTATCCTGCTATGAGTTGCTGGATCTGTTCTGCTTCAGTTGTTTGAACAGAGTAATACTGATCTGAGTAGTCACCGAAATCTAAGGTGAATGTGTTAGGAGAAGCACCCCAACGACGCACTGTGGTCAGTGGCCAGGTTTTTAAAATCTCTTTGGTTCTTTCGTCTAAACGAAGGACAGAGTCCTTAGTCACACCCAGTAGACGAGGCACAAGCTTGTTCTTGCCTTTCATTTTCTCTTTCACCAAAAAGAAGGTGACACCATAAGTTTTTAGGGCACGAGCTGTTTTAGTGTATTGCACTTTGGCATCAAGTTCTGAAATACCAACATGGTTTCTATGCTCTGCAAATATTTTTTTCTCTATGCCTTTCTGCTTACAATATGACTGAGGAAGGAACTCTTTCAAATCAAGGAAAGGAGGTTTGTGCTTTTGTTCGTTGTGATCACCAAACTGAATGTGGCATTGGATTCCAGCAAATTCACATGCCTTCTCTTGAGTTACGGGATGAGTACCATCTAAAATGGCATCACGAGCTTGAACATAAAGCAAATTAAGTTGAACTGGATCTCTTGAATCTATGTTTTGATCAGAGAAGAAGAATTTGCGTCTAAGTAAGACAGCTTCACTTTCATCAATACCCTGTTCACGCAATGTTTTGCCAGGATCAATCCAATTCACTGGAACACAAATAAATGGAGGTAAGGAACTTTGGTTCTGCAAAATTAAACATCAAAAAAACAAAAACAACTGAAAAATTTGCCTCACCTTCATCATCTGTTTTTAACTTTTTGCGTAATTGCTCCATTTTAGCATCACGCTCCTTCTCTTCCTTCTTTCTTTTCAATGTTAATGTACCAAACTTAGATTGATTTTCAGTATCTTCTTCCATATTTTCCCTAACAAGGCTGTACTCATCATGGTTTGTGATACCAATTTTTGTGCAAATGACAACCATAAGGTTGGCAACAGGTTGACTGTCATCTACTAGCATAGTCTTTAGTGTACCATCTAACATTCTTACTCTAAGTGTGCGAAGCTTCTTGCGATACTCCAATAAATCCTAAACCAAACAAAAATGGTAAAAATTAATAAACACCTCTAATAATTTTACAATCACACATTTTCGTCAACAATATTGAAAACTCACCCCATTGCGAAGAATATAATACTCTAAGTTACGTCCTGGCTCCAGCCAAACACCCTTCTTTACATCCTCATCAGCAAGGAAAAGCCCATAGTCTTGAGCTGTGGATAGAAAAGATAGAGGATTAAACACATAAATTGAGGGGAGTTTGGAACAATTTCCAAATATTAGAAACTTTAATTTGTCGATATAATTGTTACTCACGTTGCCCAAAGTTAGCTTCGCTGATCTTCTCCCGAATGACGCGACACGCATCAAAGACGGAAGTCGAAGGATCGAATTTCATCGTCTTCGTTACATCCTTGTCGACAATGCTGATTTTCAGCGAAAGCGTGGCCATCTTGAAGTTTAAGGGCTTTAAGCCCTAGTCTCGTTTACTGTAACATAAAAAAAAAGAGGTGTTCTTCAAAAATCTGCTGTCAGGTTGCCGATTACGTATTCCGCTTTCCAGAGATTCATGTTTGACTAGATTAGCGGGTCGTTGTACAAAAAAATAAATAAATTAGACAATGGATTAAGCGTGACCTGTATCCCGAAAATTAAAATAAAATTGCGGGCGGGTTTAATTGGCCTGAATTCAATACACGGAGTGGGCGGGAGAAGGGTGGGGGAGGGGAAGGGGTGCGATGGACAGGACCGAATGGATCGGGACGGGACGGGACGGGAGGTGCGAGGCAACGCAACGGCATGAAACCACCATGGCAGGGCGAGGAGAGGAGAGGGCGACCCGATATAGAAGCAAACGTGTGGCGTGGCGAGGC